TCTCTCTCTCTCTCTCTCTCTCTCTCTCTCTCTCTCTCTCTCTCTCTCACACACACACACACACACACACACACACACACACACGTGACACTGTGCATGCATGAGCACACTCTTAATGTTGATGGAAAACAGGTACCTGCAATCTTTGCATCATGGTAATGCAATCTGTGCAATGTTATTTATAGACCTTTGGACTCTTGGTTCAATTTTTGAGATGGAATTAAATGAGTGGTCATTTCGTTGTATATTGTTAGGGAACTAGTATAATGGTTGATAGGAAGCTTTCCCCTCGCCACCTTATACAAAACCACTTTGATCAATTGAAGACTGTAACAATTGCAGAAGAAGGGTATCACAAATGCAAATTTGATTCTGTTCATTTCATGTTGCAAAACTCAAATGTAAGACATTCTCATAGATCACAAAAACTCAAACAGGAGAAGGATGAGAAGGGAAGAATGAGAGAAAGTAGTAGTAGTAGACGAAGAAGAACACAAGCTTAAACGACTGTCATCTTCCTCTCATCGTTCACACCAGCTCTTTATTCATAAAGAATTGCAATAACTATTGAATAATAATAATAATAATAATAAACAAATGAACAAGAATCGATGTCTGAAAAATCCCCTGTAGGGACAGACCACAAATACTGAAACAGCTATCGTTTAGCCCACTCCTCTTCTACTCTGTATTTGGTATGACAAATGGCTATGGCGGAGCCTCCATGGCTTACACGGATATTCAACGTACAACACACAACTCTCATGCCTCTCTCCTCTTCACTGCCGCCACAGTTACTCGTCCGGATGAAGCCTATGCCCAAGCGGTACCCCAGCAGGGGGCCAACCCGGAGGATGGAGACGCCGGTTCACCATAGCCAAAGGTAAGTGTCCTTGTTGCTTCGTACATTTCTCCTCCTACAACCTCTGTTCCCCTCCATAGCCCAGCTGGAAGGTTCTCTCCCTCTACCTCCACACCCTGGAGCTTCTCCCACTTCTTCCTACTACTACTCCATCGCCATGGAGGTATTCTTGCTCACCCTGCACCCCCAAGGGCTCTCCCTCACTCCCCCTCTTGGCGGAGCGGCGACATGACTGCCTTGTGAATGAGAGGACTACTCATTGCACAGAGCGATAGGCTTCCCGGCCTACACTACCTCTTGGGCGGGTACTACCTAAGTTAGTGTTATTTTGCCTCCTTAGCAGGCATTCCTGCTTTTGGCAGCACCATCATTTCAGACTGATATCTGCATGCAGGTCCCTTATCTACCTTTAAAGTTGTCTACGTTCGGGACCTGCCCATCATGACCTACTGAAAAGCTACCGGGATCTTCTAGCCCCAGCTGACTTGCTGGAAAATCCCTGTAGGGCCCCCAGTGTATTCTACTTTATTTCCCTGTCTGCCGTCCCTAAGTATGTCCCTGCTGTTCCCTGATCCTACCCCTATTCCTCCCTAGTCTGAGGCAAGGACACACATCACCGCCAACAGAGTTAACTTAGCGCCAGAAGTCAGACTGGGACCAAGAACTCAGCAGGCAAACAGTGTCACACGGCATACATACATCAGTGAGAGATCACACGCATATTACTTGAAAAATGCACCAAACAGACTTAACCATGGAAGTCTCAGCAGACGGATGAAAGGCATACAAAACCAGATTCCCGAACTGAAAACTCTGTGGGTCATTACACAGTTATTTACAGTAATTGAGCAATACTCATCCATCTCTCTTGCGCCTCGCATTCCTCCCCCTTAACTAAAGGCCTGCTCAGGTTGCTCAAGTTAACAGAGTCAGAGAACCAAGTCGGACCCGCCCCATGCATTCACGATCAAGCTGGGGCAAACCCGACAACATAATGCACCAAGTGTGCTGTAAGCGTCAAGAATTGTCTAATGTTGTGGCCCGAAGACGGCTCAAGAAATATTCAATGCCACATGTGGCCAACCTGGTCCCCTCTGCTGCATCTGCTGAAGCTGGGTTTGTTCAGCGCCTGGCATGCGTGTACCACTCCCAGCTCATGTGCTGCACCTGACCATATGGGAGGAGGAGGAGAAGCAGAGGAGGAGGAGGACGAGGGGGAGACGGTCAAAACGCCACATCCGCCCATGCATGCCTGACCACAGATTAGTTTCACAAGAAAACCAAACGGACTGGGTAACGTAACAGGGCAAGACAGTATAGAGAATCACAGCAAGAACTCTGGGAAAAAAAAAAGAAAAAAAAAAAAGAACTCTGGGAACAAACTCTGCAGTGCCTTTCTCTATGTGTATTGTTCAGCTCATCTTTACCATGTTCTCCATCCTCACCGTGAGTGAGCTGTGCCGGACTGACAGAGGAAGGTGCCTTTCTCATTGCGAACTGAGCTTGTCTTGTTTTCGAGAGCGCAATGGCACCCCAGATTGATGGCTGTGCTGGAAAGAGCATCACGAATACCATCACCATGTGGTCCAGCACAGATGCAATGCGTCCATGGAATGGCGCACCGAGGTCGAGCGCATCCAGAGGTAACTCGAACTCTTCCTCCGCTTATGGCCTCAAAGATCTTCTCTTGAACCTCTTGCTTGCAGATTTACGGACTTCTTCCGCCAATCTCCACCCCATTTTACACCATGTCATATGCGAGAGCATGTGTGCTCCGGAGGTTACTCGTGTCCTCAGCAACTGCTGCTGTGAACAGAGTGTGCATTCTTCAGCCGCTGGTTATCTTCATCCCACTCGAATGAAGGAAACTCCATCACCCACAACATTGTATCTTGTGAATTGTTGATAGGTGACCAGATAATTTCTCAGGCAGTTTAACGACTCACCATGCCATACGCGCCAACGTGTGCGTTTCGGAGGCTACTCATGTCCCTAGCAACTACTGCAGTGAACGCATGATGTGCATCCTTCAGCTGCTGGCGTGTTTTTAGCGCATGCATGCGTGTAACACTCCCACATCATGTATTCCACCTTCCCATGCACAGCCCATCTCCCACCAAAAACATCCGAAGTGAGACGACTCTCAAGAGATGAACGCCATTTGCACCTCCCAGTCAAAACGACTCTCAAGCAGTTCGGTAACGGGTGATGTGCATCCTTCAGCTGCTGGCGTGTTCAGCGCATGCATGCGTGTACCACTCCCACATCATGTGCTCCACCTTCCCGTATGCAGCCCATCTCCCTCCAAAACCATCACAATTGAGACGACTCTCAATGTTGAATGCCACGTGCACCTCCCAATCAAAATGACTCTCAAGCGGTTCGGTCAACCTCATGCTAAGAAGAGAATTAGACAGATAATATGCAGCTTTGAATAACTATTAGTGCTTGCCAACTCACACCTGTCATTGACGACATCATCTGTCAACGCTGAGGTAGTACATCGAGCCAATTTGCAAAACCGAGTGATACTGAGTCAAGTACCACCACATCAAGAGCGGCAATCACCATAGGTCGCCTTCATTGGATGCCATACATCCTTCTTCACTCTTCCTCCCCTATGCTCTCAATCCCAGCAGAGGATCTCTATGGCAAAACGTCAACCAATCTGCCTCTCAACGGTGTTCTGCTCAGCCCTGCTTCTCGCACCACTACCGTCTTCACCCGAATAGAACGCCTGGTCTTTATCACTGTATCAAGATTGAAAGTTGCACGAAATTCAGCTGTAATGACCGGGCGTTCTATTCGGGTGAAGACGGTAGGTAGCCTCTTGTAGGAAACGGGCCCAATACCAGACTGCAAGGAATCTGCACAAGGAAACTCAAATCACAAGCTCTATGAACCCTCTTAACCAGCATGTATATGGTGACCAGAGTAGTAGCAGAAACCGCAAAGCAATGCTCACATCCGACCGAGAACAGTCAAAGTTTAAAGTCTCTTCGATGATGAAAAACCTTCAGAGTCTGCTGCTGAGGTCCTAGTAATGAACACAGCAACAGCAGGAAAGTTCTGAGTTCAGGTTGGCCTCTCAACCTGCAGGCATGACCACCTATTCTATCGTCTACGCAATACAACACCATTATAGTAAAGCAGCATCGAGCACTGAATCTTCTTGAGACAGGAGCTGCATAAACAGCCGGCTCTTCCTGAATACATGGCTCATGTGCCAGTTTAGTCGCATAGCTGCACCTAAAATTCCTCCACAAACGGTTGGCTGTTCTTGAGACAGGAGCTGCATATCCACGCTACTGAGCCTGTGTCTTTGTACTTCACCCTGCTAAGATCAAATCTTTCCCGTRCCTCGCTTGCCCCGCCTTCCAGGATTCCCTCCAGCCAGTCCATCGCTTTCGGACGCTTCACGGCATCTTCCGGACCATCATCCTTGAACATATCCTTTCCAACGTTATTCATTCTCCGCTTGAGGTCTTCCAGGTCTACAAAGTCCAGACCAGCATTACCCATTGCTCCAATCACAAAGCTTGTCCAGTTGGCCACGCCACCCAAGTCTGGCACAAGCTGATGGATCCCCATGGAAATTGCACAGCCGGTTTTCAACAGCACAGTCACAGCAAGAATTGTCCACTTGAAGAGAKTCCACGCATGCCGACTTTCCTCTTTCGGAAGATGCAACTTCTTCCCCTTCTGGCCATGCACAGCATGGCAGCAGTCTCGGGATTCGCACATGAGATGCAGCTCCACTGGCTTCAAGCCAATCAGGAAACTCAGTTTCTGGCAAGAGCCAGGTGTCCTCTCAGTGATCAAAACGCGATGAGGTAGGCGATGACTGTGCTGCTCAGTGGCAAAAACAGATATGCTAGACAGAGCACTGCAGACTCTTGCAAATGCATTTCTTTGCTCTTCCCTCTGAATGTTCACCACTTCTTTCATCTTGCTGATGGACCGAAAGTTTCGGTCAACTTTTCTACACACATTGTGAAAACCCCTCGTCATCAAGTCAGCCAACTCTTGAGCATATCTTGGAGGCTGTTCACATCCAACTGGTGCCTCAGAACGACCACCGAAGCTGCCAGTGCTGTTTTCGCGACCAGACGTGTGCCAGAGGATTTGGTCAGATTTTACAGCAAGATCATGTATAGTGCTTGTCACCGGATCACCCACCGGTTGAACATTGCCTGTGGGCTGGTCACATTCAAGTGGTGCCTCAGAGCAATCCCCGAACCTGCCAGTGCTGTTTTCGCAACCAAATTGTTGCGGTCTTTGTCCTGAGCTCCCTTCAACTACATTGAAGCTCTCACAAACTCTGTGCAGCTCACGCTTCTGAACGGACAGGTGACACTCCAGTGTTTTCGGTCTGATTAACGCCGTCGCATTGTCGCAAGATGGTGGAACAATTTCCTTGCCCTGCTCATCCCAAATGGCAGGCCATGAATGATTGTAATTATTTTCCTCCATCTCCATCCGCTCGATCACCGTTTCTTCTGTGACAGTCTGATCGCCACGCCGACACCTCCGCTGAACAATTGGACATGTTGTCAAACAGCGTGGGCGCACAATTTTCGTCACCAGATCCACACCTGGGAGACCAGTCGGCTCACTGCAAAGTTGGTTGATGGCTATCAAAATGTTCCTATGAACCCATTCAGCTGCTTCTGCAACAGAAACATCGGGGGATGATACCAAGACGTCAATCCAATCGTCATGGATTCCCCCGAACTCCACATAGATCTCATAGCCATTGTAAAATATGTAAGAGAGGTCCTTCTGGCAGTTGTAAACACCCTTGTCGTGGAATTTCTCATGGAAGYGCACCTGCAAATGCACCACAAAGCAGATCCAGAATKATTATCACTCTGAACTGTTTACACTGGCTATATGCATGGATGTGTTCCCATTCATATGGTGTGAGCATAGGACATACAGCTGCACAGAGAGACGAAGGACGCGGGACACAATGTCTTATCACAGCTCACTGCCACCAACCAGTAAATAGTATTGTGTAATGTCCTGAGGTTCCCAATGCATTCATCGCCATGACTGCTAGAGTGGGTTACTTTGCACCCCRCTGATTGTACACTRAATTGAATTACTTACCTTATCTAGAACTTTCTGGATGGCGCCCCTCACCTGCGGGCCGTGGGCAATCTTTTGCGGACTGACTGTGCAGAGTGGACTAARCCCATGGGCCTACCGAACTACCTGTAGGAYGCTTASTATGYTACCTGGGGGTTCGGGATCGGGACTGACATGGGATGCTTGTATGTGTGCAATCCTTTCATCTCTCTCTCTCTCTCTCTCTCTCTCTCTCTCTCTCTCTCTCTCTCTCTCTCTCTCTCTCTCTCT